TTTTTTTTTTTTTTTTTTTTGGAGATAGCTGAATTTGGAGAGTGTGATTGATTCGTAGAGCAATGCTGAGATTAAGGGTGCTGGGATTAAGGGTGGGTGATTGCTGGATCAGCCCACTGATTAGATTGGCAATCCCAGTAGACTGGATACAATATAAAGGACAGAAAGAGGCTTGTCTTGCTCTTTTTTGTTGCTTTTGCCATTTTCTGTGACCATGAACTGTTAGCCCTCAGCCTTGTGCCACCATGCCTTGGAACCAGCCTCTTCCATAATCTGAAACCTCTACAGACTGCGAGCTAAATAACCTTTCCCCTTTTATCTTTGGGCATCAGGTATTTTGTCTCAGCAATGAGAAAAGTAACTAAGACAGTTAATTATATGGAATACCAAAGCTATATCAATGAGTTTGTACTGTTACACTACAATGCATTGCTTATCTTTCACTTTGAATGGATCTTTTATAAATGTGTGATTTTATAACATGATATATTGGTCATTTGGAAAATAGTGGTTTAAAGTGTTACACAGATCATCCAAATGCTGACAGTTCATTTAATAATATAAAAAGTCACATCCATTAATACAAATGCAAATCTCATCAGAAAAGTGTTTGAGTACTAGAAAGCCATCAGGTTCATAGTGATGAACACAAATTTTCTCAGATTTGACTTTTTGCTTGAAAGCTTGAATTTTATCACTGGCAACAAATACTGTCAGTTGTTTTCATTGAAGTGACAGGCTTACTTCATTTTTGAGAAAATGCCTGCCAAATTCCCAAGTCTGAATAACCATAATTTGTGTGTCATTTGTTCTTTCAAGAAAAAATGATGCTTTCTGAATTATAGAAGTGGCTAGTCCAGCTTGCACCTCACAGAATTGCCTAAGTGCTTTCCTTCAGGACAATCAGAGTACTTCGGTACACAAGAGAAGTGCTTTTGCATGTTTCCCAATTAGTCATAACAGAAGAATTAAACAATGTGTACGCCAAGGTCCAGATTGAAGAAAATTAATCATTTCTATTGTTACATCAGGGACACTCTTTGTGAAACTGACTTTTTTGTTGTCTACTTTGAACGTGTGGCAGTGAGGAATACATTGACTGATACAGTTCAGGGCCACTGCCTTGGTCTGTGCTCAGTGCCAGCATCCACGTCCACACATTGCAAAAAACAAATAATGTCCTAGGATTGTGAACAGAGTCTTTACCTCTCAGCTTCCCTGAGAGGGTCTCAGAGTCCCCCCACACCCGTGTATCCCACTTTGAGGATGCCTGTGATAGGGTGAGATAGCAGCCGAGGGTGGCAGACCCTCAGTTCTTAAGAATCCACACTGGACGCTCCGTGGAAGACGGAGCCACGCCCTGTGCTGGGCCTCCTCGAACGGTGAGCCACAGCCGCAGGTGGCTCCTCTCAACCACGGTGCAGAATGGTTTATTCCAAAGGCTGTTTCTGCGGTTTCCTCTGCAGGAGCTGAGAGCACGCTGCAGCCCCCTCTCTAGGAGACAAGAGATGTGGTGAGACAGGAGTGGAGGCAGCAGAGTGGCCCAGATGGCTCCTGGCTTTCCCCCTCTGTTGACTGTGTGGAAAGAGTGAAATCCATTGAGAACATTCCCAAAGGAGTAGCTCTGGAAATTCATTTTAAGGCTGAAGCATATAAGTTTTACCTTCTAATGTTATAAGTGAAAAATATCCTGAAGCACAAAGACATTACAGGCTCAGATCACAGAACCAGCAAGTGTCTGAACCACATCAAAACTTAGATCCTCGTTCTCTTTTGCCCTCCCCGGGGGGCTGTCATGAGGCAATCAATCTTCTGTCCTCTGCAGGGGAATTAAGCATCTTATACGCAAAGCAGGTTTTAATATGGCTCTGCTATTCCAGCATCAACTCAGCTAGAACCAAACTCTGTACCTCACTGAACTGCATAAAGACCTACTCCGCAGAGACCCCAACTCAGGAAGAGAAGGTCTGGATTTGCTGAGCCTGCTCAGAGTCCCCGAATGGGCAAGCTCCCCAGTGTCTGTTGTAGGCACTGCTGGTCTTTA